AATGGTTAACACTTGGGTTGCTAGTTACTTCCTTGGTACACGTAGTGTTTATATCCACAAGGGTAAACCAGTGCTTTCTTCCCCATCTAAAGCCCACGAGCATTCTTTCTCAACCTTAACACTTAAATCCAGGTTAAGGATTTTAACACTTCTATTACTATAATGTATTCTAATTTGCAAATCATAACATTTCATAAAAATCTCTTACCATATTCCTTTAAGGAGGGCCTTGCTTCCTTGCTTTGTGCTGCACGTTCAAATGAAACTTCCTCTGGTGAGAATGTTTTAAAAGGCCACATGAAACAGGAGGCAAAAGACAGCCTCACAGTGTCAGGTGGAAAGAGCCCCATAGCTGACATTCTGCATGCCTTCAAGGCTGGGCCCTTTTACTATAGCCCTGTCCCTGAACTAACCTTTGACCCCACACACCTACAACCGGACGCACCAACCCCATACCAACACTCACAGGCTGGGTGTGACGAGCCGTTTGTGATCAAGTAGGGCTTGGTATTAAACCTAATTATTATATAATTAACCAATTTGTGTCCCTCGCACAGGGCATCAAAAACTTGTGTACCAAAAGTTTTGTTTTCAGATTTTTCCTGATTTAACTTATAGTTTTTCAGAATAAAATACTAGGGCTGCCCCCAACTAAAGAGTTTGGAAGTCAACTAGTAGTCATTAGTAAAAGCCAATAGACGACTAGTCGTTAGGTTTATGCTATTGATTAAATTATTTAGATATATATATATATATATATATATATAAAATTTATTAAATGCTAACAGCAAAAGGTTTCGGAAAAACCAATAAGGAGACAGTATAACATCTCAAGTTTTGCTGTTTAAAACTCACAAATGGAGTTGTGAGTGACGTTGTTGCTTTTTGTTGCGTCTATCCGAATAACGAAAAGTGGGTAGGATAAGATTATTTGTAAATATAGAATATGTCAACACATTGTGAGGGATACTGCCTAATAATTTGACAGAACAAATCTTAGGCGGACAACACAGGACTTAAAATAGCATCAAATCCCACTCACAAGAAAGCACAGGGAAAAAGGACCAGAGCAAACTAACACAAAGGAGGAGCTCGGAAGCAGAGAGGAGAGAGGGGTTTGGTTACGCAGCCCTTCATGTGTGAGCCTTTCCCATCAGCGGTTAAATTCAGGCTAAAATGTTCTCAGAGCTCCAGGCCTCCTGCCGCCGCTCGGCCTATTGTGGCATGCGTTTAGCAGGGTGTGTTTGGTCTGTGTGTGTGTGAGAGAGAGTCAGCCATCAGTCACATGTGTGTGTACGGTCTCCTGTCAGTGTCCCAACTGCTCTCGGTGGCCTCTACTTCTTCTAAACAAGAGCTGGGATTATGACACAGCAGGAACCGCATGGTGAATACACTCATAACAACACGAAGTGGTAGTTTTGCACAACTTCCTCAAAATGTTGTTCTGTGTACAACAAAAAAAGGCCCATAGCTCAACCTACGCAGTGAAACACAGTGCCTGCCTCTGATATGTCTGAGTGAAAGCTAGGACGTGCGTTATCCTCGTCTTTTATCTCCTCCTCACACATTCGCACGCAGTCACGCACGCAGTCAGCTAGTCAGGTGTTAGCCAAGCTCACATCTGCAACACCCACTTCACCCGACTGCCAGCGACATTAGGAACACCTCATATAGAAGAAGTCTTTATCAAACACACAATCGCACACAATGTTATGATCAGTGTTCCAAAGCAGCTTGTCAAGCGCAGATATCTTTTATACTACTCGCTGTAGTAACAGAGAAGTTGGAGGAGTGTGTGGAGTTGACATGAAAACCGGAGCACAAAATGAGCACAGATAACTCGCTCTGTATTTGTACTGGTGGTGACAGAGCCAAGGCTGGGGAGGCATCAGAGGAAGAGTGTGACGACATGTGACTTCGCAGTTCCATCTGTGCTGAATGGATGTGCCAGACACACGCATAAAGTTACCCTGGCAACTGAGCAACAGCGCTGGTTGGAGGTCACACAGAGAAAAGGCTTGATGCGGACCTAAACGCCTCTAGAATATGTATAGCACTCAATAGGAGGCTCCAAAATGATTCGCTCAGAGAGGAAGTCGAACGCACGTTACACATTTGCTCGCGCAGGAACATTTCACATAAACTGTGTGTAGTGAACATGACGCAATGCAGAGCGGAGAAATATAACCTGAGAAAGACCAGGGATTGAACTTGATGACGCAAACGTGCTTCAGTGTTTTATCCCTTTCTCTTGTAAACACACAGCTCTGATTCGGAAAGGGGAGTTTCATTTCACACACACACACACAGATGTAATCTCTAACTAATCACATTTGCAGGCCTTGGACAGAGCAGCTACACCACAGTGCTGAACAGATGGGCCCACGTACACGAGGCATCTCTGGGATTAGCTTAGCCCAGAAGGTGGAGGTGGTATGTAGAGCCGCCAAGGGACGGCGTCTAAAAAGTAGCTGGTGCTCAAATGGTCGACGAGGGGAGTCTTATCCAAGCACATGTGGTGATTCAGGAATAGAAAAGTGGAACTGCATCCCAAAGGGTATATCCTCTGAGCGAGTTTCTCCCTCTGATTGCGCCATCACCGCCTTTTCAGCTGTTGGCTTACACGCTCGCAACGACAAAACATTCAGCCGTAGATAATTATGTGTTGTACAGAAAGTGGTGTGACTGAAAAGAAGAACGGCCTCCCGACCGAGTGTGCTTTAGCATATCCTCCGGGCACTCACACTGTTACTGTTGGCAAGCAACAGATATGCAACGTGACGCTCTGAGGAAGAACAGGATGAATCCAAAAACAGACAATGAGAAGTCGTTGCAACATTTGTAAATAGAAGTACAGATGGGACTTGTGTTGCTTTGGAACAACAGTGCAAATCTCCACGCTGGATAGAATACTGAATCAACCATACTGTATTGGATTAAGACCTAAGCCCTAGTACTAAGACTGCTTCGGTAAACGCTTCAGTAAACGCTTCAGATGTGCCCTCTCTCTCACACCCACTGACCATGTCCTGCAGGTCAAACTTTCACTGGTACACTATAACAACTACCACAGCACTCTCCTGGGGTTAGCCTGAATCAGAAAAAGTGAAGACCTCCCGCATTTGGAAATAATTGTTTCATCTCAACTTTTGGGCTTAAATTAAAATGAACTGTACTATTATTAAACCTCTCAATTAACCAATGCCCTCAGAACTAGTACCACAGCGATCCTCGACACTACCTAATGAATACACATCCTGCATCTTTGTACTGTTGGAGAACACTGGAGCCCAACGAGCAGCCTTCACTGCCTGACACGACACCACGGCACGCCAGTCATGAGTCTGAACCAGCGACCTCTGGGTCATATGTTAAGTGTGGAGAACAGCAGCTCCACACAGCCATACTAAATATCGATATGGAACATTCCTTGGAGCCCTTTAAGATGGGGTGCGCGCAACAGCAACGTCACACAGGAGACTGACAAAGAGTGTGTTAGATAGGAGGTCTAAAAGGGGGAGGCTTTGTTAGGAGAAAAAAAAGGCAGCCTAATAGTGAAAAAGGACGTGAATTCAGATTATAATGAGTTCTGCTTGACAGCTAATAGAGCTGTCCCTCGCAAGTGTGCGGGCCTCCAGCGCATGTACTTATTTGTGCATATTCCTGACCTCACAAATTAAGGGAACAACGACAGATAAAGTGAAGTGTGGTGGGACGGCTCCCAAAAGTTTGAGCAATGCAGATTGTTGCACCGACCACTCTTATCAGACCAACATTGTCACAGATTCATCTGACATGAAAAGGTCAACATACCTGCAGACACTGCCCGAATAATGAGAAATGTCTGGCCTGTATGCTTTTTGGAATTATACAGCGTGCCTGGCATGAGGTTACAAGAAATAAATATCTAATTGAAGACTATCACTCATTTAAAATGATATTATTGATTGGCAAATTAGATTACATTATGTGGATGGATGTAGACAGTTATAATGTAGAACAGCTTGCTGAATGTGAGTGTTGTTGTGAGTGACTTACTCCACTAACACCTAGCAGCTGAACATGGGAGGACCCTCATGCTCTCAAACTTTGCCTCATTTGAATAATTTCAGGGCATCGGGGTCGAGAGCCGTTGCTCACCCCTTCCTCGGACTCAAAAACACCCTCTCCACTTGTCTTTTCTGCCCATTTTACAACCCCAAAATATGCTACGGCTAAGACAATATAGGCTACGGTAGTACACATTATTGTACGTGGGTGAACCCACGCCACACCCAAAGCACTCCCCGGAGGGCAACTGTGCAGGGGTTCACCGCCAATGAGCTACCCGGAGCAGAGCGCCTGCAGGGGGCTAACAGCACAAACGGGTCGACATAAAGCCCCCCGTGTGCCTTAAACAACACGAACTGTGTGGCGACTGAAGTAAACAAAAGTAAAGCTGCACGGGATGAATCACAAATTGCTAACTCACTGACTCCTCGCTGCTTTCTCTCAGGTTTCCACATTAGCATGTTGCAATTCCCGCTAGCTTGACTCGGTGGCTAACTTAGCTCTGGAGAGGGAGCGCATGATTTATTGTCAGCGTTACATTAAAGTCCTCGGTGCGGCTGTGTGCGGCGGGGCGACCGGGTCTTCACGTGGGTGGAGGAGAACATACAATAATGGCTCAAATAAACCTCTGCACACCGCTACAGATAGACTGCGTTACAAAAACAGGGACCAAGTCTCTCTCTCCTCCCCCCACACACACCTCACAGCCCCCCACTCTTTACGGAGGCCGCTGTACTTTGATAACGGAGCATCCTGCAGATAAAAAGAAACACATCCAAACCGCTCCGTGGATTCACGTTACGTTAGCTAGCTACCTCGACGACTCTCTCTCTGTGTGTGTGTGT